CAGAATTGGTGGATTCTATTAGTTGGAGTAGGCTGAGTGGGCAAATTGTCCCAACTTTTATCAAACTTACGAATCCCATTTGGAAGCCTCGATAGCTCAGTTGGCGAGGGCCTTGTCTGTACTAAAGCCCTCCCGTGGCTCGCGTGGGTTCGAATCCCACCGAAGCCCCGATTTCTTCACAATTGGGTCAAATTAATAATTTATTTTTGCCGTAGTCACACGGCCGAACGCACAGGGATACTACAACTAATAAGTTAGTGCGGATGAACGAATGGGATTAACGAAAATAATTGCGCGGCAGCTTTAAACTATTATACTTTAACTACTATATGCATATAAGTAGGCGTAGTTAGTTTACTATATAATTTTATTGAAATATTTAAGCGACGTCCATTTGCCTTTCGGCTTGTCGTAATACAGTATCTGAACAAATGCATTAGAAAGTATCGTGAATTTTTTTAAATGGGCAAAATCTTGTCTCTCATGATTTTACTCTAAAAACTAAATTTCGATGTAGAGTTGATATTGGTGTGTAGCCTAATTAGGGGTACTTTTGTGCAGTTTATGTTTCCCATTAGTTGCATTTCTCATTAAAATTATCCGGCACCAAACATTAGAATATTTAAATAATTATTCCTATTTCTCAATCGGTAGAGTGTTGGCTGCACAAAAACCTGCCCTGCTGTGCGAGTTCGACTCACGCCGACGCCGCGAGTTTTTGCACAATGGCGTCAACTAACGTATTCCTATGATTTTCTGCTTTCATACGTTCTACTTTTTAATTTAATTTTTTTCCCCCGACTCATCCATAGAATCTTATTACCACGGGTTCCGTAAGACAGAATCCTGGGGCCAGGCATATCTAGGCTTTCCGGCCAACTTTATTGTTACCGGAATAATAATAATAAATTAATGCATATCAAGGAACGAGAATAAGAAAAATATCTATATCCCGACAGGTAGGCGACAAAAGAAGAGAGTCAGTTTCTGAGAACCACCACTTCATTCGAGGCCAACGGAAACAGCAGATTTTGCTCCAGCTCGTAAACTCTGCCTTATTCATGGGCTCCTGGCCGTTCTGGAACATGCCTGCCAATTGTGCGTGATGGGCATTCTGGGCTACGGCGTGCCATACGCCTTCTGCTCACACCTGCTCGAAGCAACAGTACACGCTGTTTGCCTTGACAGCCGGCAACCTCAAATATGAGTTGGATGAGAACCGATGTTCTACATGAATCGACCTTATATTTTTTCACCACCGGATATAGGCCGACAATATCGCCCTGCTAGCCTCGAGCATTGGTGGTCTACAGGCTGTAGTGTCACGGGTGAACGAGACCCTTATCAAAAATGCCAGGAAGAACAAATTATTCTCAACCTGCATTAATGCCCATAAGAAGGCATCCCGCGGGGGATGAATAGCCGTCAACTTGAAGAAGCAGGCAGTTTTAAATAACTCGGGCCGATGCTGCTACCGACTGGACAGAGTTAGGACGACAATGCTTCTCGAGTCGAAGGGTTTTCTCAATCCTCCGAAAGCGCCTATGGCATCTTCATCACCACGAATATCATTGTGTAAAATGCATCCGTCTGGTCAGTCCTGCACTACGAATGCGTAGGCTGGGCTTTGCGCGTTGAAGATGAACGGAGATTTGTGATATTCGACCACCGCTGTCTGAGGACCATCCTTTGAGTGAAGTACGCCGACTTCGTCTCAAATCACACAGACGGCACTCGCCTCAACGGTATTGTGAGGATATCTCAGGTCATCCAATAAAGACGACTGAGGTGGTTGTGGCACGAGCTTTGCTACGCTGCAGACGATCCGGCACCACAGTC